GGAAGGAGAACCCAAGTGTACAGAAGAAAAATTAACAACAGGAGATAAAAGAAAACATTGGCCAAGTCTGCCTGCTGAATCAGGAGCCAGAAATTCCTCTTTTCTACATGAGATTCTGAAAATTTCATCTTCTTTGACTTAAGAAAAGATTGTAAAAGATGACGAAGCTGAGGCACACTGTGGTTAGATGACTTACCCGGGGTTATGACCAGAGAAGTCTGATTCTGGGCTTGGGGCTGTTAAAAAGGATACAAATTACATGCTGTCTGTCTATCTATCTATCTTTATCAGTTAGCGCTTTATCAGTTAGCGCTATGACAGAAAACAAATGGCATACTCAAATTAAAATAGTCGAAGAAGGGTTTAACAGAAGAAGTCCTCCAAAAAAAACAAACAAAAAAAAACCCCAAACAACAAAAAAAGGAGTTCTCAAAACAGGTGATCTTCAAGAGATGTGCAGTACCCAAGACCCAAAGAGGAGAAAAAATGTAATGGGGCAGTGATGAAGTGATAAAGAAGTATGCTTTTCAAGGAGAAAGTCTTCAGAGAGAGTCTGTCTGTCCATCCATCTATCATCTGTCCATCGTCCATGCATACATTGCCCTTTCAATCCATCCACCCGCATAGTGTCTACACAACACACAATGAGGCCTGAGACAACACACAGCAGATAGCAAAGTGAGTTGTGAGCCACACACCCCAGGGGACCTGCGGCCTCAGGCATTTAGCTAAAATTTGGTTGTCAAAATTTAAAAAGGCCCTCCACTCTAAACACCACCCTGAAAGAGGAGGAAGTGGGAGGGGATTTCTTGCTGCAAGACCACCCTCTTCCCTGTGAAGGACGTGTGGGAGGGCGTGGTCCAATAAGATTTCTTGTGAGGCCCCTGCAGTTGGCCTCTGCAGACGGCTTAGGACATCTCATGGGCGGCGGGAGGAGGGCCAGCTGGTGGCTTTGGTGCCCGAGCAGACGAGAATGGCCACCACTCTAGGTTCAGCTGGCATGGCCACAGTACGTTCAGGCCAAGACTGCATGAAGAGCTTTTGTAGCTAGAAGTTGGTCACACTTGAGAAAGAACTGGCGTGGGGCAGAGAGCCAAGACTCTACCCAGCAAGGGCCCCAGATGGGTAGGCAGCAAGAGACCACCAGAAACGAGTCATTCACCAAGCCAAGGGACACAGGCTGGAACAGCCTCAAGGGGGTTCTGAAGAACCCAGGAAATTCCCTAGGGGATAAAGAGTCCACCTGGCCCCCAGAGCATGCAGCCATGAAGTAAGACCTTTCCAGCCGCTGCTTACCTCCTTCCCTCCCTCCCAGGGGGGTCCAACCTACACTGGTGGAGCTGGGAAAGGAGGAGGAAGTGAAGAAGCCCCGACCGCCAATTCTCTCTGGCCAGATACCAAGCAGGAGGATGTGGCAAACGACTTCACTTCAAACCAAGTGCAGAGCTCTGGTATTATCTGGGACTGGACATTCTAAGCATTAGACTGATAATTTGGGTAAACCAAAGTGACAAGACTTTGTATCGCCCAAGGATTTCGAGAGAGGTCATGCTGCCTGCTTAGATGCTCTTTCAGGAGCGGGGGAAGGACCACCCAAAGGGACATGGGAAATGAAGACAAAGTCACCATGTGGTTACTACCCCAGCTCCTGCTGGTCGTGTGTGCGCGTGTGCAAATGAACTACACACGTGGCTGTGTCTCTGGACTGTGAAGCTAAAGCTGGTATTTATTTTCTTCTTTCTATACACTTTTCCCTAATTTCCACATTTCCTATGAAGGAGATGTATTCCTTTTATAATCAGAAAAACATCAGTAAGTGTTATTTTCAAAGAGGAAGTCAGCCTTCCGGAAATTCCCTAATCCATGTAAGACATCACTTGCACCAGGTCTCAGCATTACCCATCGTGTGCCCAGTATTGCCAAAGAGAGCAAGAAACATTCCAACATCTGCACAGGAACTTGGCGTGGGATCAACTCCATTCCCAGGAGAGGAGGGAGGAAGTGAGAATTGGATATTTTGTTGTTTCCCTTGTAAACATGCTTTGGGATCATATCCTTTTCCCCTTCCCCTCCCTTCTCCATTTAGTCACAAATTTGGCAGCACAGCGTCCCTTTCCAATACCAGCTCGATTGAAAGGACCATTCTTCAGGCAAATTTCAGACGAGAACTTACAGTTAGTGCCTTGGCATCTTGGGGATGGATTCTAAAAGATGTATTAAGATGAAAATACTAAATAAATGCACATTGTCACACCCCAGAGTCTCTTTTAACTTTTTCTTTGGAATACTCTGCAGTGGGACTGCCCTAGAGGTGAAACAACCTTATAAGATCATTAAGAAGATATTGAGAAAAAATTTTTGCTCTCTTAGAAAAAGAAGTACAGTTCATAGGGAGCCAAAAACCACGTCAAGCTACAGTCACCCATTTCCCACTGATAAGGCTGGTAGGTGAGGAGATAAGAAAAGGCTGTCAGGCCAGCATACCCGGAACTCAGCAAGGCCTTTGATAAAGTTTCCTAACATTCCGAGTGATGAAATGGCGAAATGTGGGCTGGATGATAACACAGCCAGGGGAATTCCCGGCTGGTTGGAAAGCCTTAGGCAGTCACCCAGCGAGATGCAGTGATAAGAGACATGCTTTTCAAACACGTGTGCTTCACCAGCTTGGGAAGACTGGACGACCCACTAGGATTCAAGAAGATGGTGATAAATAGACCTGCAGGTCAAAACTGAAGAGATGAAATACAAAAGAAATAAGGCAATAGCTACTCTTGGGTTCAAGTAGTTGATTGCATCGAGGTAACAATTTGACAGCAACGACAGTAATAGTTTGCATTCACACAGAGTATTTCAGTTTACAAAGCAGTTTTAGGAAGTTTAGCTTAATTTCAAATCACGTGAAAAAATACTTAGGGGTTATTTTTCTTGGCCACAAGCTTGAAGTGAAACCAACAGAATGACATGGAAGGAGAAAAGCCAACAGGATCCAAAAGAACAAAAAAAACCCCCCAAATTAAGTGCTCCTGTCCTCTGAGCACACCTGAGGCTCTGGGTTTGTGTCCTTGCGACCACCTTTAAGAGAAACATCAATAAATTGAAGTCATAACGAAACAGGTTGATAGTAAGGTGAAAGTTCGGGAACCAAGAGTATTCAGGGTGGAGAGGGAAGACAGGGAGATGTGAACAGTTGTCTCAAATACTTGAGCAGCTACCGTAAACAGAAGATTCTACGACACATTCTGTGATTATCATCAGCACAGAACTTCCACCAGTGACCAGAAATTTCAGGGATGAGGATTTTGGTTGGAATAATGAATCTAAACATTTAAATGTTTTGAAAAGAAAATTGTAATTTACAGAACTGGAAACAGTTTGGCCCCATCCCGGGATGTCACTTGGCCACACACCCTCTGACTCTGCAGGTTCACTTTTGGACATATGCATCCAAGATAAAAACTTCCCAGGAACACCAGGACATACGCACACGGATGTTCACAACATCTGGAAACAACCCACATGCTCATCAGTAGGAGAGAGGATGATGAGTCAGCTGTGCAATATTACACAAGTGAAATGAATTTGGATGAATATTAATAAATATTAAGTGAAAAAAGTCCCAAAAGATTGTGAGCAAGATATCCCTTTTTAATAAAGCTAAACAACAAAAATTTAAAATGGGCTTTTTAGATTGATTTTGCTTTTTTTTAACCATCAGGATATGCATGCATCAGCGATGAAAGTATGTCATGAACCAATCCAATTCTGTCCACCTGAGAACCATTAAAAAGGAGAGAGGGAAAGAAGGGAGGAAGTACACAGAATTGGCAGCTTGTGGCCCAGTGAGTAAGCTCCTCGTCACTAAAATCACTTAAGCCCAAGCCAGATGGCCACCCAAAGCAGTATGGTTGTGCAGGTTGTGAACGGCACCAAGGCCCCGGATGAGGAGTGGGGCACGTTTCCATCAGCATGTATTCTGCTTGCCAAGACCAAATCCTGGTATGAGTCTGTTTGCCCAGAGGAAGAACCACCTCACCCTTTGCAGAAATGTGCTGTCCACTCACCCAGCTCTATGCCCCTGAGGCTGTCTCTGCTCAGAGAGAGCATTTTGTTCTCATAAAAAGCTCCCAGCCAGAGGTGCTTTAGAAGGGATCTTGCATTGGGTGTGGAGTTGGACTGGTGACCTCCAATGTCTCTTTGAACTCAAGCACACTTTTTGGAGAGTAACGTGTGGAAAGAGCTCTGTAGCACAATTCAGGAGACTGGATTTCTCAACCAGCCTTGCAACTAGTTGTGGGATCCTCGGCCTTAATCACTCTGGGTTTGTTTTCTTGTCTCCGTAAAACTGTACTCACGCTACCTGCCCGAGCTAAGTGTCTATGACAACTAGAACATACGTTCAGTGAGGGCAGGAATTTTTATCTATCTTGTTCATTGTTGTATCCCCAGCATCTGAACAGTGCCTGGCACATAACAGCTGCTCAATTAACATTTGTTGAATGCAGAAGTTCTCAGACTATCCTTGTGCCTATGTTTGCTGTATATAATATAGTCTTAAACAAGGTTTCTGGATACAGGTCTCAACCTCCAGAGGGAATCTGTAGGAGCCAATGAACCCTCTAAGTACAACCAAATTGCAGGAAGCATCAATTGTCTGAAACCACAGATGGCTCTTAGAGCTTGTGTGGTGCTGAACTCCAGCACTTCTATGCAGGGAACAGTGGCCCAGCAAATCTGGCTCCTTGACGAGTGTTTGGAGCTGCCACAGTTACAGTCCCTTGGGTGCCACCTTTCCTGGCACTATGAGGGTGGACAAAGGAAAGTGGCTAAAACCATGGCTATGGCTTTTCCATTCAGTGTGGTGATCATCTGGTTGGCTTCCCAGAATGAAGCCAATTAAACCCACTGAGAACCTGTGAGATCCAAATACATTTCAAAATTTCATCAATTAATTCTGCTTTTTTTACTCAGTGAATACAGTATTGTTAATCTTCACGACTCACCTTCCCAAAGGTTGCTGGGTTGACTTGGTTCTCAGCATTTTGCCCACAGGTCTCCACATAAATCTCATACATGAGACAGCGAGGCACACTGTACCCTTCACAAATGCAGAAATTGTCAACCAACCTGCGGGGAGAGAAGAACAGGGAGGAGGAAATTGGCAACTGTTTTTCCTCAAGGATATTTTGTTGGTATTTTTTTCTTTTTTTGGCGGTAGCCGGTACTGGGATCTGAACCCTTGACCTTGGCGTTACAAGAAAGTGCTCTAACCAACTGAGCTAACCGGCCAGCCCAAGCAGGACATTTTGGCAGAACCAATGGTCAGACACATGTGGATCCAACTAGTTGAAATATGTCTAAGCTATTGACTGGAGCCCTGCAAAGGCTCACCTCCAGCAACAATAACATATGCCTTTGTCCTTGGGCCAGTGTTGGGTATATTGATCATGGGCTTTTATATTATCAACATGGTAGGTTTTTGTTTTTGTTTCTTTGGAGGCATTACTGGGCTCAGCAGACACTGTTTCATATACCTTTATAAAGGTTGCAGCCATGATCCACGTAACTATAAAGGGGAGAATTATTTACTCCACTTTACACATAAAACACAAAACAATACCCCAGGTAGAATCTCCCACCCCCGCAGGTGACCACAGGAGCCAGCTCAGCTTCCCAGTCCCCGTGCGCCTGGGGCATGTGTGCACAGCTCTTCCTCTCTGATCCCCTCTACTCTGAAGCAGTTGTTGGCATGGATATTGATCCTGTGCAGTTTAGGGCGGGCCACTATATTTTGACTCTTTGAATTGCAATGAGATGTAAAATTTAAGACACTAAGAGACAGAGGGTCAGTACACTTTTACTCTCTTTTATTTCCTGTTGGGTACAGACCTAAAGCAGCATTTTGGTGTGACCTGAAGAACCCATGGCCTCGGTTCAAGGTGGGACCTTCAACTGCCCAAATGCTCCTGGCACTGAGGCAGGTGAGGATGCCCTGGCAACAAGGGCCTCAGCCTGAACTTCGCAGGCCACAGCCTGGCACGTGGGGACAACCAGGTCCCTACTGTTCCAGCAGCATGAGTGTGTGGGTAAGGAATGAGGGCAACCCAGGTCAGAGAGTCTCCTTAGTGCCATCCGATTACAACCTTCCCTGTCCTGCTTGGGCATAGACTGCCAGGGTTCTCCTGATTCTTTTATAGAAATACACAAGCAAGCCAGCATGTCTTAAACATGGAGAACTTTTTCTTTAGGAGAGAATTTACAGAAAATACAACTCCTTTCTTACTGATAACATACAGCTTATTTTCTGGGATGAGGCACACTGAGGCCCAGATTTACTTTCCTTGAGAAGTAAAGACAAATGTAACCCCATCTGCTTCCCAGAAAAAAAAAAAAAAGATATATAAGTGATGGGGGATCTCTGGTCCTGTATTGGCTTCCCGTAAATTACCACAGGCCAGGTGGCTGAAAACAACAGAAATTTATTCTCTCACAGTTCTGGAAGCTAGAAGTCTAAAATCAAGGTTTATGCAGGGTTGGTTCCTTCCAGAGGCTCTGAGGGAGAATCTGTTCCATGCTTTTGTTTCTAGCCTCTGATGATTGCCAGAAACCCTTGGCATTCCTTGGCTTGTAGACGCATCACTCCAGTCTTGGCCTGAGTCTTCACATGGCCTTCTCCCTGTGTGTTTGTGTCTCTGTGTATTTTCTTATAAGGGCACCAGTGGTGGGATGTAGGGCCCACCCTAATCCAGTATGATCTCAACTTAACTAGTTACATCTGCAAAGACCCTATTTCCAAATATGTTCACATTTTCAGGTTCCAGGTACGCCTGAATTTGGGGAGGATGCAATTCAACCCAGTACAGGCCCAAGGAGGTAGATTTTCTGGAAACTTCCATAACATCAGCGTAAGAAACAGACACACTGATTTAAATACAGCTGCTATTGCATCAATTATTTGGCTCATCTATTGGTAGGGTGGGGTGGGGGGGCTGGTAAAATAATATATCTAGGTGACATTTACATGTCTTTTTTAAGATACCACTTGTTGATATATGAAAAATCCTATATCTGAAGTATTACAAAAAAATGTTGGCTAAGTTTGGGGAGCTGCAGCAAAATGTGATATTCATCAAATTGAAACTCACTTTTGTTTATTCAAGCTACTACAGATAGTCAGGGAACTGTCTTCTTCAAAAGAACTGCACAGGGCTGGCTGGTTAGCTCACTTGGGAAAGTGTGTACTGATAACACCAAGATCAAGGGTTCAGATCCCCACACTGGCCAGCTGCCACAAAAAAAGAGAACTGTACAAAATACTAATTCCTTAAAATAAACTCCAGTTTAAATTTTTGCTAATTATTCTTCCTTGTCACAAATACTCATTAGTCTAGGCCTTTATGAACTGTCTATTTCAGAATGACATTCCTCAGTCTCACTGTTATCCAGGAAGACAGGTAAAGCCAATAATACCACCAAGGAGGACAATAATAAAGGCGTGTGACCAAGAGTCCCTTCTGAGCCACCCGCACAAAGAAAGGGCTGCCTTTTGGCTCTGAGTGCTGTGTTGCTGCTCTGATCCTGGCTGCTCCAAGAGATGAACCCCATTTCTGACCATGTGCTTCGGGTCGTTTCCCCAGAGCTCCCGGCCAAACTGCAGGGACCTGCCTGTGGGACGCAGGCAGCGTGCATTAGCTGAAAGTGGGCTTTAGTCTGTCCCTTGAGAGCACCTCTCTCCAGGGTCATGCTTGTACTGCAGCTCAGACAGCGCTAGCTTCAGCCTGCAGTATCTGCACACATGCGAAACTGTGCCTGACTATTACCCAGAGCTATGAACCTCACAGCCCCAGGTTTAACATCTGACTCAGGGACACCTGAGGGATTCTGTGATTACAAAACAAGCACATGATGTGCCTAGTGCACTGGCTGGCACATGGAGGCTCCTATGATGATTATTTTCACCTTTACCACCAAAATCGGGAATGAAGCAAGAAAGACGTCAATGTTGGTGGACTGGCAGCCCAGAGCACCTGCTGTAGGTGAGCCTGATCTCCAACGACATGTGGCTCCAAGGACAGCCTGAATGTGGAAGGTGCACAAATTCTTGGCAGATGACACTGGGCAAGAGTTTTACACTGTGCCACCAAAATATCCTTTGTTCACACGTGATTATAAAGCCTGTCCAAGTTTGAAGTGGATCAGACCAATTAAATTCCTTGCTTAGCTGAAATATATCAGTATTTCCCAGGTCTCACCATCAGACAAGATGGATCACTAAGATCTTCAGAACATTCACTATGTTCTCCTTGTTTTGGGTGATGAATAATCTGATAATCACCAACCTCAGCACACACATACCTGGGAGGCCAGTGGTTCCCACATTTTCTGAGTACTTATTTCCATCATCATAAAGAAAAATGTTGTGAGCTCCCCCGACACTAGGAATTATAGCAACTTCTGGTTCAGCCTGATCAAAAACTACTATGACTTTTGTACTTTATTCATTTTTACCAGTCTGCAGAAATTTGAAAAAGTCTTTATTTATATGTGGGAAACAGTTAGTTTACAGCCAGAGCTCAGCATGCATAGGGATTAAATGATGCTTAGAGTCTCCCCCTGAGGTCTGAAGCCAGAACTGCTGGGACCTCACCCCCAGCGAAGGCTCAGGTCACTGCTCATTCCTACGTGCTCCCTAGAAGTCTATTGCTTCTCTCCCCGCTTCTGCAGTCCCTCCTGTCCATGAAACAGAAACCTCTTGTTACTTCCATGGCCAGCTCCCCTGGGACCTTTCTCCTGGGAGAATTTATCATGTGTGGATGACAATGGCACTGATGATGGCACTCTAAGACATGTGGGGGACCTAACACAAGTGACTGATTGGAAGACTAAACAATGAAGTAATTTTGGAAATGGAGCATTTCTTTCATGTGACAACAGTCAGGACTCTCCATGGTGTTTCACTTGGAAGCCTGAGTGTGCAGCTGTCCCTGAGTGTCCCCAAGGATCTCAATGTCAAGGCTCCAGAACACAAGCTAAGGGGCTGCATTTTTAATGCCGATGTTAAAATCCCCAGTGTCAATGATCAGTTAAACACACCACCTCACAGACTGGACGTCTGAAGAGTGGCCACCACAATGAACCAAAGCCTCTCCACACTCAGAGGCCTATAGGGGTAGGAGTTCATGGCATGGGGCTTCAGTTAGTTGGGCTCACTGCTAAATGCCACAACATCCTGATGGTTACTTTGGTTACTTTCTGAAGCCGTCAGGGCTCCTGTGATGTGCGCAGCCTCCCTTCTGCCAGCTCACAAACAACCTTGGGAGAATGTTCAGGTATTTTTGAATCTTTCTCTAATCATTCTTGCAAGTATAATTCAAACCCGAGAAACTCTAATTTAGTAAATGTGACCTGAAATAGTTGATAAAGGAATCCTTAGAGTGGTTTCTTCTAAGGACTGATGAGTGAGGGTCTGGTTTAGTGAGTGTCGCAGAAATCCAGTGCTGTTGTGTAACACTGAAAAAACAGCGTGCTTCAGTATCCGTGCTTTTTTTTTTTTCTCTCATGTAAGAGAAGACATATCAAAAATTTTCTTTTGGAAGAAAGTGGTAACCACATAGGCCTTTTGAGTTATACTCACAAACACACCCTTCATTTCTCTATTTCACTCACTTGACTTTTTCAAAAAGACTTCCCTGAGAAATATTCCCCAAAACTTAAAAAAAGAAAGATGTAGTCACATCTAATAGTTATTCACCTTATAAAAATAAGCTCCTAGAACTGGTTTTAATTATTTTCCTATCTATGAAGAGCTAAAAACCCATCAGTTCCTCAGTCCCAAGGGCTAAGGGTATTTTTCTTTCCAGTTCTATTCTGCCTCTATTTAAATAGCCATAAGTGAATTTCACAATGTGGAACTGCATTGTTAGAGCTAAAAATCTCTTTGCTTTAAGTCAGAAAACAGCCCACTCTGGATCTCATGCTGAGAGGACACATTTCCTCCTCTGGCCATCGCCCACGTGCTTTCAGATGTATATGTAAGGGCCAGTCCGACCAACAAGCCCCCCGGTGGGGGCCAGTC